GACTCAGAAAATGGAAATAACAATCAAAGCAGATAGGGTCCTGGCAATCTTAGAGATTAAAGGTCCCTTCCTGAACCCCTAAGGATTCTTTCTACCTAGCACGTGAATTCTTGATCCATTGACCTTATATAAAGCACTTTACCTAAATCTCAATTTCTTCATTTCTAACATGGTTATGGTATTTGTTCCACTAAATGACATGGCTGGAATAAAAATAGAACATATATGAAAGTGTTTTATAAATTATTACATGCTAAACAAACAAAGGTATTAAACATGGAGTAACATTTTCTTCCCTAGTGCAAACTTTCCAACCAACATGCCAAGAATGGATTACAGATGTGCTAAAATACTGTCCCATTGTTTTATCCCCAAAAACTTTCAGAAAGCTAGGGAGAGCCTCGCTACAGACATCACAAATGTAAATAATTTTGTATGTGTGCTATGATGCAGAAAAGTTTGGAAACCTTGCCCTAGAATTCTATCTCATGCTAGCAGAAATGGGGCTTGACCACCCGACTTTCCACTTTGCATGATTTTAGGCCTCACTCACAAATCTGTTGCTCTTACAGTACCGCTCCAAAATCTGTTATTGCTCCCCAAAGGATTAAAGAACATCAATCATGAACATCTATTGCTGCTAGTCCAAAGCAATAGAGGATAAAAATGAAACCAAACAAAAACTCTTAGTTCAGAAAATAGCAATGATAAAACTGTATTTTCACAAAAGAATTGAGCAATTACTAGTTTTACAACTACCTTCAAAGCCTAAAACATTCTAAAAATTTAGTTTTGGTAACAAATCTTTGTCTTTTGAGAAGAGATATGATTTCTTCCAAATACTGAATCACTGTGGGCTAGGGATGTAGTTCAGTGGTAAAGAATTTCCCTAACATGCACAAGATTCTGGATTCTATTCCCAATACCACCAAAACAAACAAACAAAGCCCAATACCCAGTTATTCAGACTCTGGTGACTAAGGTGAAGTGACAATGGTAGAAAAGAACTTTACCATATGTCTCAATATGAGTTAACAGTAGTATCAGAAGTAGATTTCAAAGCAGATTGCTTCTCAGAAGAACAGTATTCACTTAAATAGTATGTTTGTATCAGTGACCTGAAAAATTGTGCTCTATAAGTGTAATATGAAATGACTAGCATTCTGCCATCATGTATAATAAATTAGAATAAATTTTTTTTAAAAGTATGTTTGTTAGGGGGAAAACAATTTATAAAAAGATCATATGTTCCTTTTTAGGAGTCAACTGCTAACAGAACTAAGCAACACCTGCCTATGACCATCTTAAGACAAAGATTTAGAAGAGATAGAGGAGAGGGGAATGAGAGGTAGGAGAAAGAACAGAAAATAAAGAGGGGAAAAAATACATACATATACTTTTGTCTTACAGAAAATAGTTGAGAATCTGATAGAGATATTAAGTGGCTTCTATGACTGTGTAAATGTAGTAGAAACCATGTTAGATCCTTTGTTTTATAAAGCCTTTTTCATACATCCCAGAAGTAATGTTGGCATATATCTTTTAGATTATCATAGACCTTAAGTCATTATCTTCCAAAGTATGTGGAAATAACTCACTTTTTTAGTCTGTTCATCTATAAGTATATTACCTTAAGTTCTCTGCTTAATATATACCTTTCTCTACCCCAAGAGAAAGGTATATATTAAGCAGGGAACTATACTGAAATTTGTTTATGCTTAAAGATGGGTTTTGATGTAAAAAGGTTATTATTTATAACTTATTTTCACATTTCCCACCCCTGTATGTCATTAAGGAACACAACGCACCCATAGATTTATATCCATCTTCTTGGGAAAACCCTATAGATGACCACTCTATAAGCCCTGTTCAAGTTCACTTCTTTTTGTCATACTTTTCAGTAGGACTTTCAAGTAATTGTTCATCCACTGAAGAGCAATAAAAGAAAAGACCTTTTTTTAATGTCTGACAGAAAATCAGGTGACATATCCCCAATTCATTCCTGAAAGAATGTAATGGAAGTATATAGTAGCTGTCTAAAGTAGTGTGCACCAGACACCTAGGATCAAATGCTGGCTCTATCAGTGTAATTCAGAACAGATTATTTTAGCTTCAGTTAGCCATTTGTATCAGTCTCTTCATCTATTAAAAAAAGGGGGGTTAGGCCCCTTACAAAGTTGCTAAGAGGATTAAATGAAATAACCATGTAAAGCACTTAGCATAAATTCTGGCACACAGGAGGCAAAACAAATGTAACAGTCACTATGGTGTTGGATATAATTTATCTTCTGAATTTGTCATTACCTTAGAAAGAAACTAATTTTAACATAACATTCTTTTCAAAGTTATGTTAACTGCTCCTCCAAGTTAGGATGCTATATAAAAGGAAGATTATTTTGTGAGCAAAATAAAACCAAAAACTGGTTAGACAGATTCTGATAAGCTGTATAACTCCTCAAGTTCTAAAATTATATGACATAAGGTTCAAACCTTTAGAACTTTAACCTTCAATCAAAAAACATTTCATGGGTTGGGGAATATAGCTCAGTTGTAGAATACTTGCCTTGCATGAATAAGGTAAGCAACATACACACACACACACACACACACACACATACACACACACACACACATTTACTTGACAATCGATCAGAAAGTATGCACTCTAAAACTTGAGTTTGGAAAGATTCTAACTTACTTAAAAGAAAGAAACAATCATTAAAATATCTAATGTAGGATGGAGGGAGAGAGTCTGTCAAGTTAAGCAGCAACTTAACAAAGGCTTAGGAGCCACACCACTGAAATATCTTATTTTTTCTTCCTTGCAAAGCTAGAGCCCAAGGTAAATACAAAGTGGAAAAACAAGAAATGAAAGAAAAGTACAACCAAAATTAAATCTTTTACTCAGGTGAACCTAAGCACATCAGTTTATACATCCCTTGGATCACCAAAGCACTGGCTATAGTATGCTTAGAAACCTCAAACCACAAAGCAGGAACTAAATAAATAGACAGTGTAAGTCTAGGAAGGAATGTAGACACACTGAAGTTATGAAGTACTTGGAGATTTCAATATCAAGTTGGAATCCCTGCATTCTACTCACCTTGGCCCCAAACAAGCCACTTAGAGTTTGGGAAAATAACAGCTCCACCAAAAGCTCTGTTTTCACTGACTTCAGCAAGACACTAAGTAGTGGTTTTAACTATTTAGACATATATCTCTTTTGAGAATTTGAGAAAAGGAATGGACATTCACTCCAGAGGGGGATTGGAAAAAGGCACTCAAACAAAACCTGTCATATGATTTCAAGGACAGGGACCAAGAAGACCCCTGAAAATCCACAGACCTCAATTCATAGCCCAGAATCAAGTCAAATCATAAACTAAGGAAAACTAATATACTGATTTAAAAAGGAACCAAAGTAACTGAGGCAGCGATCTTAACCCAGAAAATAAATTTAGAATAGAAATATTGTCCATTTTCCCAGATAATGGTGTTGGACTTTATGGCTGGGAAAGGGCGTTGGTTACCTTGAACAAGGAAAACAAAAACGGAAGAAAAGTATGATTAAAACAGTACTAAAATATAGTTGACTGTACTCACTTTGAAAGAGCAGTAATGAAACGGCCAATCCCTGCAGCTGGCTAAACGTAACCCATAAAGGCCTGGATGAACATAACCAATCTGGTGCACCTTTCTGTCAACGAAGTTAATTAAATGGCAAACGTGAACACACCCTTCCAGGTGAAAGCACACGTTGAAAAGTCCTGCAGATCTTCCATTGTTTCCTTATCAATTAAGAACTGAGGAAGCATACTCTGGGAGAAAATAGAGACAAGAAGCAGAAATCCTAAAAGGGTGGTTAAAGGATCTGCTGGAAGTGTAAAGCACAAACTTTTTTGAGATCAAAGAGTTCAAGGGGAAGATAACAACAAAGCCAAGGAAGCAATAATAAAGAGAGGAAAAAGTCTAGAGTTTAAAAACTGTTCAAAAGAAAAACTTCCTTTCCTAGACACGTAAGCAGCAATAACTGGGCAAAGAGGGACGGACCAGAAGACAGGGCCACAAGTCCCTTTCTCAAACTCCAGCAATCCTTAGACGTCCTCACAAGCACAGTCAAGTCTTGGAACTTCCACGGGCAGGGCTCCTCCCTGCACCACTGCCAGGCGAACCTCTCCAAGGGACTATCACTATCTCCCTTCCTCTCAGCTGGAGAGAGGAAGTGGGGAAATGCAAACTGGGGAGGAGAGAAATGAAAGTTGGACACCAAGCCCGAAGGTGGCCCACTCCGACACTTCATCACGATCTGGACCCTGCAGCCCTCTTCCACTCATTGCATGCAAACCGAGGGTGCCGACCCAAAGGGCCGTCCTGCTCCCTCAAGCGACTGTTTCTGGGATACACTCGGCAGGACTGCAGGAACCACGGGGCCGAAACCGAAGGCAGAATACTGGCCAGATAGTGTACAGACTAAGGACAGAAGTGCTCGGGGGAAAGTCGGGAGAAGTGAAGCCCGAGGCAACGTGTCCGCCCTCCAAGCATCTTTCCCCCGCCTTCCCCCCGCCTCTTCCCGGCGGGCCCGCACCGCCCTCACCTGTCTGCTGGGAACCCGGCACCTCTCAAGTAGAAGATTATCCTGCGGCTGCTCTCTGGAATCGCCTCAACTCGAGCAAGAAGTGAGCGGAAACGCGACCGGGACCTTTTCCTTCTTCCCCTCCCCCACGCACCTCGGATCCTCGGGGGCGGGGAACAACTGCAGCAGTCACAGGCTCACACTGACCAACCGCCGAGGACACTCGGACCAGCGACCTCTCAACCCAGCCTCCAGAACCTGCACCAAGAGCCGCGAAGCCGGAAGTGAGAGGACCGGAAGTGGTGTGGTCCTTCGCTCTGGACGGCCTCTCTCTCCCTAAATCGGGCCCGGCGCCTCCACGTCTCGATGGTGCCAGCGCGCTTCTCACGAATTTCCCTCCGCCCCTCTCCAGAGGCTGGCCCCGCCTCTCCGGCTGCGGCCCTAGCAACCACATCCGGGACTCCACTGGTGCCGTTGCCCGGGTAATTTTCTGGCGGCGGCTGAATGGTCGTGGATTCTGCGCTCGGCTCCTGAGGCGTCTGCCAGCGCTGGGAGCTAGCGGAAGGGCGCGCCGGCCTGCCTTGAATGGTCTCTGGGCTCCAGGAGCCCTCAGCGTCCCTTCTTTCTCACTCACAGGCCCCGGCCTCACGCGTTAGGCGTCCCCCCAACAGACGGTGCGCCGGGAGGGTGGAGGTGGAAGTAGCTTACCGCCACGCTACCACCGAAGAGCCAAAGCTGCTCAGCCACCGAAGAGCACGAAGGTTATACCAGTTCCGCGGGCGGGATGGGGGAGGGATGGAGAGAATGTGGGGACAAGGGAGCCGACGGGGTGCAGGCGTCTCCCCCTCGCTTCCCCCGTTCTCGGACAGGCCCCCTCCTGCCGCGCCCTCGCGCCTACTCCCTTTGGAAAAGCCCAGATCCCCGACTCCCGTCGTCTCTGAGCTCTCGCTACCTGCTCCGTCTTGGTGATCTGTAGCTACTCTGCTCGCGCCCTGAGAGTGGATCCCCAATAACCTTTCTTGGCTGCTCCTTTCTTTTGCCACATGACCGAGGTCTCCTTTCTTTGCTCGCCCCGTTAAAGTAGATCGCTCTCGCTGTCCTGTCTACAGAAGCCGCGGAGCAATTCCTTCTTTCAGCCCTTAGTGGTCTCCTAAGTTGAAGCTCTAACCTGCACAGGCACTCTCCCCAACGCCCAGCACTGAATGGAGGGAAACTGTGACTCCGCGGCGGTGCTAGACCTTCCTGAAACTCATTTACACATTGTAGCTACCTTTGTCCCTACACACTAATCTCCCTTCAGATATTTCCTGCAGCAGCTTTAGGTGCTCATTTTTATTCTCATTTCGCTTGTAGAAATGCAAAGAGTAACTTTGCTCATGATGAAACTAAGCCTTTTTTAGACCACACTTCTCACTTTCCTTGTCACATTTGCTAACCGAGACTTTTTTAAACACTAAGTGACCAGAAGCATAACTCCCCCTCTACAGAATTCCAGAGAGCTTCAGAATAGTGAAATATTGCTGTACAGATATCTTCTCCAGATTCGTGTAAAATAAATACTTGTGACACCACAAGTGTTTCTCCACCTCTTAAAAAAACACTACTGAAATCCTAAAACAAATCTAGTGTCAAGGGACTTTCTGTATCTTAAATGATTCTCTTTTCAAGAAAACAGTAAATATAAATGCCAACTCGCACAAACCATAACTTAAGTTCTTTGGCTTACTGTGGATTTTTTATACTCAAAGCCATCCTCTTCTCAGCCATAAGAAAAGGATTCCCATCTAGAATAGTGACTACTCTTATTGTGTAGGAAAAAAGTAACCTCAAAACTTGAAGCTAAGTTCAAGTGTTATTCCCAAAGTATCCCAAGGATGACTTGGAAGAAGTGCATGGTAGTGCCCAGCTGGGCTTGAACAGTTTTGGCAATAGGTGCATTAATGTTTGAACTGGCTGTATCCTTAAGCATTTCTGCTTTCTGTCTTTTGAGTTTGGGGATACTTAACTTTGCTAAAATCTGTTAGTCTGTTAGAGGTTTTTCTTATGCTAGGAAGGTGAACAGTTGCTTGGGTAATTTGCTGTTAGCAGGATAGTTTCCTTGGAAGCTGCTGATGGTTTTGATAGAGATTCTCAAGAATTGGAACTGCTCAGAACTAATGCTAATTTATCCTTGTAGAAGATGCTATTTATTATGTCAGACACCCTTCAATACAGTGAGATTCTGGTACTGAGCATGAGTAATCCACATCCATGGTATTACAGTTCTGCAGGGCTATACACGGGGTTAATCTTTCCATGATTTCTTCTACCCCTAGGAAATTAGAATGCAGGTGGCCCTAAGAAAACACAGAAAGGTACTTCACCTGATGATGGAAAATTATGAAAGTGTGTATGTCCTTTGTAGTAAAGGAAGCAGCAGCTAGTGCTTTTTGGGTCTGGGGAAGTTTTTTTATTTGGTTTTGTTGTTGTTTGTTTGTTGATACCTAGCCCTGCTTAGATAGAGACATATTTTCTCTTTCCTCCTTAATTTCCCTCCCTCCTTACCTTCCTTACTCCCTTCCTACCTTTCTTCCTTCTTGCTGTCTTTTGCTCTAGATTGGGAAATTCTGCCTATCTATTCTATTTAAAAAGAAAAAATTACTAGTTTTCTCTCAGTTGACCTGTTCAGAGAAGTAAGAAAAGGGGGAATAGCTACCTTCCCTATGACATGGAGATTGTCCCCATGAATATAGATAGTTACATAGCATTTTATTCAGCTTTTGAAAAATTAGATCTTATGTATTCAGTAGGCTTGTGGAGAACTCCAGTAGACTTTCATTAGTGACCAGTAGCCTATCTTTCATTTAGGAAAAGAGGCAACAAGTTAAATAATTTATTTTTGGTGGTGGGGGGGGGATACCAGGGATTAAACCCAGAGGCACTTAACCACTGAACCATGTCTCCAGCCCTTTTTTATATTTTATTTAGAGACAGGGTCTCACTGAATTGCCCAGTGTCTAGCTAATCTGCTGAGGCTGGCTTTGAACTCATGATCCTCCTGAGTTGCTGGAATCACAGACGTGAAGAATATTATTTTTAATCTATTCTACATAAATGAAACACGCAAGTGACCTTTTAACTCTAATTTAGATATTGAATACTGTATATTGTTTATCAATATGATTTACTGAAATTGCTACTTCAGATCTTTTATATAGGAATTCTGGGGATGTCTCAAAAGTTTCATTGTTCATCAGAGGCTCTTTTCAAATTTAGTTGATCACACAGTGTAGTCCTTTGGAATGAAACCCCCCATGAAGATGCTGAATAATGGAACTATTTAAGAAGCCCTAAAATAAGTAAGGTACAAAGTAAAGGTGTATGGTGTGAGTTACTAGGACTTATTACATTTTTAAAAAGTTTTATAGTAGGTATATATACAACTTCACTCAGTTATAAAAAGACTATACTTGTATACCTGATGAATTTATTGATGTTAAGGCTCTTAGTATCACTTTTTTCTAAAAGTAGGAGAGTTCTCTTATGCACTTATTACAACAGAGGAAAGTTTCTCAGGTGATCCTGTCACATGCTTCTACTCAAAAACCTTGAGTGACATTTGTGACATGCTGAATGAATTCCTTATCCTAGCATTCAGTTCTTACCAAGGTCTGACCCCAATCTTACTTTGCAGTATATAAGTATAGTTCATAGTCAACCAAATGAATATTCCTTTTTATACATGTAGAGGGAGAGTGTTTATTTAGCCAACTAATAGATACAGATATTAACATAGATATGAAGGTTTAGTTACATATAAAACTTCTATTTACTTATTGGCACTGGAATTCAACCCAGGTCCTCATGCATGCTAGACAGGCACTCTAACTTGAGCTACATGCCCAGCCCACATAAAACTGTTTAATATGCTTCAAACTGCCCTATAATTTCCTTCTTCCATGTTTCACTCTCTAGTCTTACCACACAAAAATGTTTTCTTATCTCTTCTTACCTGCCACATACTATTTATTTGAACTCAGATGCTACTTTATATCTTTTATCATGGCCACATCCCCAGCCCTATTTTGTATTTTATTTAGAGACAGGTTCTTACTGAGTTGCTTAGCACCTCACTGTTTCTGAGGCTGGCTTTGAAATTGCGATCCTTCTGCCTCAGTCTACAGAGTTGCTGGGATTATAGGTGCACACCACCGTGCCCAGTTTATAAATCCATTTTTTTATCCTTCTTGTAAGTGTTAATTTTCCCACTTGTTTTCTCCCACAGTCCTCAGTTTGGCCCGTTTTAGTCTTTCTTATACTAGTGTCTCTGCATGTCTGTTTCCCATGATCCTTCTTGGGAGACTGAACTTTAGATTCATTTTGTTCTCTCACAGCACCAGGAATCTAACTCTGTTAAGTTCTAGAATACCAGCAATTGCTGGTATTTAGAATAATGCTATAGGCAGGATTAAGTGGACATAGTTGCTGTCTATTTGTGGAAGACAAAGAATGAGTGTTTTCTTCAGTTTGGAAAGTAGTTGATTTTCTGCAGAGGGCTATAAACTACTGATAAAAGGAGAGTAACTGGACAGTCATGGTGGCACATCTCTATAATCCCAGTGACTTGGGAGGCTAGCCTCAGCAATTTAGTGAGACCCTATCTCAATAAAAAATAAAAAGGACTGAGAATGTAGCTCAGTGATAAGCATCCCTGGGTTTAATCCCCAGTACAAAAAAACTGAGTAATTTACTACACCTAGAAATTCTGAATGAAAATAATGACAGGTTTATGTTTCTTCATACTGTTTTTTTTTTTTTAATGATAACCTGGTACAAAAAGAACATTAGAATTGTAAAAAAATTAACATAAAGAGAAAAAAACTGAATTTAGGTACAATTCAATTATATTTAGGTATAAATTCAATTATCCAGGAACATTTGATATTTTGGTCAGTGTCTTTTTTTTCATATATATATATATATTTTCCTTAATAATTTATTATTAAGAACCTGTGTTTTCTGGCATTGAACACTGTGGGAATAGCTGTGAGCTTTTGTCCTTATGTAATTTTTAGTAGTTGGTGATATATAGTTTTGTATTTTTATTTTTTTAATTTATTTATTTTAATTAGGAATATATGATAGCAGAATGCATTTTTTCATTTCTCTGGTTATACGTGATGTAGTGGTGTCCCATATGTAAAGTCATACATGTACCTGGGTTAATAATAATGTGTATCTCATTCCACCATCTTTCCTTCCCCCATACTGCTCCCCTCCCCTTTGCCCAATCAAAGTTCCTCCATTTTTCCCATGACACACCCCCCCCATTATGGATCAGTATCCACTTATCAGAGAGAACATTTGGCCTTTGGTTTTGGAGGGATTGACTTACTTTGCTTAGCATGATATTCTCCAGCTCCTTCCATTTACCTGCAAATGCCATAATTTTTATTCTCTTTTAAGGCTGAGTACTATTCCATTGTGTATATGTACCACAGTTTCTTTATCCATTCATCTATTGAAGGGCATTTAGGTTGGTTCCACAGTTTAGCTATTGTGAATTGAGCTGCTATAAACATTGATGTGGCTGTGTTACTACAGTATGCTGATTTTAAGTCCTTTGGATATAGACCAAGGAGTGGGATAGCTGGGTCAAATGATGGTTCTATTCCAAGTTTTCTAAGGAATCTCCATTCTGTTTTCCAGAGTAGTTGCACTAATTTGCAGTCCCACCAGCAATGTATAAATGTGCCTTTTCCCCCACATCCTCACCAACACT